TAGATAAATTTTGACAATATAAGGAAAGATGGACAACGTAAGTAAAGATAGGAAAGATAAGTGGATTATAATAATACGTAAAATACGTAATAATAATATAATATAAAGAGAAGTATAGATATGACCGATAACTTACGATGAAACTATTAGGGTAGCGAGGAAAACTCTATGACGAGTACAATGCATTCCTAAATAGGGAGAAATAATAAAATAGGTTAGAACCAAAATTAATTTAAAGCAAAATGAAAGGTAAAATGAGATAATAAAATATGGGAAAAAAAATAAGGATAACAGTCCACACAAGGATAAATTTAAATGCACAACCCGAATTCGCTTATACAATCCCTTTGATTTTTCGGCCGACGTAGTGTAACAAAGATCTCGCATAAAAGCGACGCCGAGAGGATCACGTAGTTTCACAAGATAAATATCATGTGATGACACATAATATTCAACTACGAAGCCACCGGCCAGAAAAAAAAAAGCCAAGACGAAAAATAGGGAATAATCGAAAAATAGGGAATAATAAAGATTTCAAAGAATTTAGGGAATAATAAATAAGATAAAAGAATACTAACCTCTTGCAAGTTTCGGTAATTTATTTTTCAGACGAGCCAAGTAAACAACGGTAGTAAGAAAAGTAGCAGTTGAAACGTTTGATTTTACAACTAATCGTTGAATAAATGATATCAAAGGTGGTAAAGGTTGATAATCATCTTCACCAACATTACGTGATATATTTTTAGATTGGTCTTGTCGTTTATTTATTGGTGGAGGGTCGCATGGGATCACTTCAACGGCTTTTTGAGCTACGTAAGCTAAAAGGAATGGAAAAGAGAATGAAAAATGAGAATTAAAATGAAATTGAAAACGAAAATGAAAATGAAAAACGAAAACGAAAATGAGAACATACCAATCATTGGAAGAGTTATGGGACAGCTAACCAAGAATTTCAAAGGAGCGTCGGTGGTTTCCATTATTGTTACTTGTGAATTTTTTATTTTATTTTTTTTTTAAATAAAGGAAAATATTTATGGATCGAGTAAAAAGAAAAGTAATAAAATAAATATTTTTTGAAAAAAAGGGGAGAGGTCCTTTTTATGTAAAAATGATGAAAGGTAAAATCACTGCGCTTGGATAAAAATCAAATATGAAGATTTCAAAAAAAAAAAATTTCGTCAATAGAAATCTGTGATTTGTTAAATGATTATAGATTATGATTTATAAATTATATAGGTATCAAATAATATCGCGTAAGTTTCTTTCGCGATTTGATTTATTATTCATTCGGATGGATTGATGATGAATAAAAAATGATGATGCTATTTCGTATTGATATATAAATTGATTTTTTTTTTTTATTTAATTACTTTTAAGTAAAACGGTAAGCTTTCGTAGTTTTAATTGACAGAGTTTAAAAAAAGACTTTTGATGAGGAAAAGAAAAAGGTATGATGGCGGACTTTTATATCAAATTATTTCGGAGAAATTTGTGCATTATTAGGCTTTTATTAGGTTTTTTTTTTTTTTTATGTATATGTATTATTATAATCCACTTATCTTTCCTATCTTTACTTACGTTGTCCATCTTTCCTTATATTGTCAAAATTTATCTA